TGACAAAGGAAATGGGAAGAAAAGCCAATATGTGACTGTGGCTTCTGCAGGGCTCCAGCTCCCCTGAGCTTTGCTGAGCTCTGCAGTTCTCACCATGGAAACGTGAGAGGCCCCTGAGCACAACAGGACTTGGACCTTTGCAGACTATGCTCAGCTCAGTGTCTACCCTCAGGAAGCTCGGAAAGTTGTGAAAATGTGGAGAAAGTCCCAGGAATACTCGCCCTTCACAGCACCTACAAGCAGCCTACAGGGTTTACCCTTCTGTGCACTCCAGGAAATAAACCTGCTTCTTCTGTAAAGTTCCCTGGGATAGAGATGGCAGGATGTCTCCTGGAACTGATTCGTAGGTGCCAGCTTGTGTGTGTCTTATTTTGAATTCATTTCTGGGGATATATCCAAATGATACTGCTCTTAGTTTCACAGGCTTTATGTGAAGCGGTGCCTCCATTTTGGATGGGGCCCTATATGTATCACTGCTACTACAAGATATTATGTGCAGGACCATTTAGAACCCAGGCAAAGCTCCCTGCCTCACACCCTGATGAAATCTGCATAAAGATAGTGTCAGGAAATGTTTCTCTGGCAATAACAAGAACATTTGGCCCCATTTCTACAAAAACTGGCTCTGGAGCTGAAATAATCAACCATGTTTGTTTCCTCATGTACCTCCCGGCCCCCAGCCCTGACTCGTGCCCTTTCCTCATTCATTATTAGTAGATTGTTCAACAGAGACCTGCAGGTGAGACAATGAGACTCAGGACTCTACAATGGCAAGGCTGAGGCATAAATGAGTTTATTTGTAACCATGTGTGAGGCTGGATGGGAGCCTTGGAATACAGCCTGCGGGGATCTGAACAGCCCAGGACACAGGGATCGGGATCAGCACGGGTCTAGCGGTGCCCTCGGCCTGTCCTTGCAGCAGGGAGTTACACTGGAAATATAAAAAGTTATTTGAGCCATCATGAGAAAATCGTGCTCTGTACAAACTCAGCTGCCAGGCTTGGCAGCAAGCCAGCAGGGCCCAGCTCCAGGCCTGGCTGGGGTCACAGGCTCTCCTAAGCTCTCAGCAATACAGGACTGTGTCTTATGCAGGGCCAGGCCCATTCTCAGTGCATCCCATTGAAGAAGCCGTATCCTGACAGCCTGTGCAATGTACGTGGCTGAGGACAGCCTGGGCGCTGTGCCCCTGTGATCTGGCCAGCCCTGCTTCATTCCGTATGTGCTGGAGAGCTGAGCTCCTACAGAAAGAGCCCAGCCCACACGCAGAACCTGCTGCATGCGTCCTCAAGATCCCACTCCCTCAGAATTCACAGGCACAGAGGTTCCCCGTTGCCCTCTTGGCAGGGACCTCCAGCCCCCTCTCATGCCGCCTCCTCCTCCTTGTCTCTCCTCTCCCAGCTCTGCTGTCTTCTCCCACTTGGCCCCTATATCGCGTCGGAGCACATGGGGGCGTCTAAGGGGACTGAGAGGCGATTGGATTTGCAATCTAATCAGGTCCAGGTTTAGCAGCAGCTTGTCCCCAGAGCGTTCTAGCATGAGGCGTGCCGGGGAAGCCAAGGACCCGCGTTCCTCACAGCTAAAGCAGCATGTTCTGACCTGGGCCTGCGCTTTGGTCAGTGCAGTGCTCTGTGTCTGTGCTCAGAGCTGTGATTCCCTCCCTGGGGAAGGCTCTCCCTGGCTCATCTGGAGAAGGGCGTGATCTCACCACAGAGCTATGTACCCGTGCTGGAGATATCAGGAGAGATAGGTACTGTTCTTAGGCCAAACACAATCTTTCCCACAGCCGGTGTCACAGCACTTCTGGTTTTCTGGACACGTGTTGTCCTTTTTGCAGACATTAGGAGGATCAATCATGGGACAAATTTCAGTGATGTCTGGACAAATCCCTGGAGCCTCTGCAACAGAATAAATTAATGGTATATAAAAAGCCTTCATGTTTTCCTGAGCACCAATATGTGGTGCCTCCTACCTGACCTTATCTAGCTCTCCATCACATACCCACTGCCCTGCTGGCTGGCTGCACATGAGAGCCTGCCATATTTGCCATAGTAATGTTGTGTGCTCAGTAATGCTCCTTATTTCTTGGCAAGTCTCTGGAAAAAAAAATTCTCTTTTTTCTGGCCTTCACTGAATATTTTGGATATGTGGGCATATAGGGACCACAAGCCCATTGGGCAATATGAAGAGAGATTAAAAACACTGGGACTTTTCAGCTTAGAAAAGAGGAGGCTAAGGGGGGATATGATAGAGGTCTATAAAATCATAACTGGTGTGGAAAAAGTGAATGAAGAAAAGTTATTTGCTTGTTCCCATAACATAAGAACGAGGGATCACCAAATGAAATTAATAGGTAGCAGGTTTAAAACAAACAAAAGGAAGTTTTTCTTCACGCAGCACATAGTCAACCTGTGGAACTCCTTGCCAGAGGAGGTTGTGAAGACCAGGACTCTAACAAGTTTCAAAAAAGAGCTAGATAAATTCATGGTGTTTAGGTCCCTCAATGGCTATTAGCCACGATGGGTAGGAATGGTGTCTCTAGCCTCTGTTTGTCAGAGGCTGGAAAGGGATGACAGGAGAGGACTCACTAGAAGGTTACCTGTTCTGTTCACTCCCTCTATGGCATCTGGCATTGGCCACTGTCGGCAGACAGGATACTGGGCTAGATGGACCTTTGTTCTAACCCAGTATGGTCAGTGTTATGTTCTTATGTAGCTCTTCAGACACAAGGACAGTGAAGTGGTTTCATGCAGCCCTCTTTGCAGCTGCTGGCCTAGGTGTGCCTGGATGTGGGACAGGTGAATTGAATGCCATTCCTGCCTACCCTGTGCTGCAGACAGATGGCTCCTTACAGGCCTCTCTTGCCTATATTGATTCCAATCCTCTGTGCTTCCTGGATTCTGAAAGCAAAGGTGACACAGACCCCTTCCTTCCTCCATCCCCTTCATCCTCTGGTCTGTGCTGAGTGCAGATGAAGCCCAGAATAGGGGACCTGAGTGCTGAGTGGTCCTGTGAGTGGAGACCTGATTCCCGGAGATGTGGGGACTGGAGAAAGATGGATCCAGGCAGGATTTGTGTGAGACCCCCTCCCCGCCACAGATTAACCCCAGCCTCTAGGTACCTGGGAGAGTTATTACATTCTGTGCCAACCATCAACTCATGTTCCCGTGACAGAGACACAATTGCATCCTGATGAAACTGAAACTCTCATCAGAGAGGCTGGGCCTATCTAACTGTACCATCTGCTGCTCATAACCCCGCCCAACCCAGCCAGCTCCTCTCACACAGTGTCTGCCTCTCCCTGAGGCCTTGGCCTGGGGTGGCCATCTGTCTCCTGGTGGAATTGCTACTCTGAGCTCTCCAGGGAATTTTCTGTCCATTGAACTTCCAATGTCTCATGCTCAAGATCCCTCTGAATCCTTCACACAGCCCCCCGAAGGACAGTTGGGCTACGTCTAGACTGGCCCCTTCTCCGGAAGGGGCATGCTAATTTCTAACTTTGGAATAGGGAAATCCGCGGGGGATTTAAATAAACATGGCCGCCGCTTTTTTTCCGGCTTGGGGAAAAGCCGGAAAAGAGCGTCCAGACTGGTGCGATCCTCCGGAATAAAGCCCTTTTCCGGAGGATCTCTTATTACCTGAAGTAGGAATAAGAGATCCTCCGGAAAAGGGCTTTATTCTGGAGGATCGTGCCAGTCTGGACGCTCTTTTCCGGTTTTTCCCCAAGCCGGAAAAAAAGCGACGGCCATGTTTATTTAAATCCCGCGGGGGATATTTAAATCCCCCGCGGATTTCCCTATTCCAAAGTTAGAAATTAGCATGCCTCTTCCGGAGAAGGGGCCAGTTTAGACGTAGCCTTGAAGTGTGGCCCCGAGCGTCCTCACGTACCTTCTGCTGGTTTCATGCAGCGCATGGCACAGTTGCAAAAACAGCACTTTTCGTAGTCCCCACAATCAAAATCAAAGTCACACTCGTCCATTTCTGGCACTCTACATTTGTTGTAATCTGGAGGGCAGGTCCCAAGTTTCACTGTAACAGAAAACAGCCTCAGTAGGAACAACCTGCAACCGGCTGAAGGGATTGTTGATGAAAATCCACCAGGTAAGCTAGAGGCAATGTGGATCTGCCCTATGAGGATCACAGTTCACAACAATGGCTATTAGACGGGACACAGGGCTGTACTGCCAAGCAAGGGATGCTGCTGCTTCCAGATTCTAGCAGATTCTGCTCCTTTGAGATGGGGCAGAAAAGAGAGGGAAACATGAGCGTACACACTGATCACACACAAGCCAACAAAATATTTTCATCAGTAATCATTGAAATTCGCAGATGGGCAAAATAAGAAAAATGAGAGTGAATTCGAGTTTAATGTAAGGATAATTACACGTGTGATCAGGACTGGATTTAAAAAGGGGTTTTGGGGCGTCCAGAGTTAAAGGGGCCCCACAAGAAGATCTCTGGGCCTCCAAACGAGTAGATCTTTGTGTGGGGCCCCCTTAGCCTGGGCTCTGGGCTGCAGCTACTAAAGACTTTCCTTTCTGGCCCTGCCTGGTGAGATAGAGAGCGAATGCAGCTCTGCACGCTGCCATCACCCCTCTCTTCCCCACATGCAGCTGGAGCTCAACATGCCAAGAAGCTCCATCCACGCATTTTCCTTGCCTGCAGACTCCACCCCTACAGCTCCCAATGGGCCTGTGGGTGACTCAGGGTGGTGCACGGAACCTGCTGCCCCTCTTCTCCCTCCCTGGGGTCTGCGGCAACAAAGGGGAGCTGCCCCAAGTAAGTGTCCCATGCCCCAAACCCGTGCTCCAGTCCTGAGCCCCCTTCCACAGCCTAACTCCTGCCAGGTGCCCTGAGCCCTGTCTTGCACCCTAACTCTCTCCCAGACCCCACTCCCCAGTCCCACCCTCTGCCCTGTGTCCTCCCCTCCCCCGACACTCCAAACTTCTTGGCCCCAGCATGGAGCTCCTTCCTGCATCCCACATGTCTCATCCCCAGCCTCACCCCAGAGTCCACACCCCCATGGGAGCCCATATCCCCCACCCCCACCCTCTGCTTCAACCCACAACCCTCTCTCATACTCTGAACCCCTCATTTTTGGACCCATATTGGAGCCTAGGTGGCCCCACAAACTCTAGTACTCTCGGGCTCTCCGAAGAGTTAATCCAGCTTGCCTGTCATGCCAGTAACTCATGTTTTAATGGTTATAAACCTTTATCTTTTTCAGTCTCAATGTCTGCTCCTACTAAGTAATTATTGGCTGGCCTCGCCTGTCCTCTGATGTTCCACAACTATGAAGATCCAACTAGATACTAATTGAAAACAACACTTAAAAATAAACATCCATCATCCATCCAAATGATACAAACATTAAAATCAGCTTTTGCAAAGCCTCTTATGATGTGCTGAGGGACGAGAGCGAGGAGCACCCAGGATAATTATCACAATGGGTCGCTGTCTTAGTCTTTTATGTAGTGCCTCTCACTGTGGTACCTTAGCACTGTGAGATACAGGGACAGATGGGGGGGGGAGATTTCGGGGCAAACTTGTTTAGTTAAGAAAATAATTTCTGCCTTTCCTCATTGGAAAATGAGATTGGGAGAGAAATGAGCCCAGGCAGGGATGGATCAGGCCATAGACATGATGTTGAATTTCAGCCTCTTGCTACCAGGGGGAGTTTGTAAGACACCATCCACCACCAGTGGTTTTCACTAAATGCTACAGAACAAGAAGTTTTCCTATCAGTCCCTGCAGGGTCACAGCAAAGACAATGGGGCTGCTTCTTTCCTGGATCTAAAAATCAACTGTGAACTCAGGAGCTGTGTCTAGACTGGCCAGTTTTTCCGGAAAATCTGCTGCTTTTCCGGAAAAACTTGCCAGTTGTCTACACTGGCCGCTTGAATTTCCGCAAAAGCACTGACTTCCTACTGTAAGAAATCAGTGCTTTTTGCGGAAATACTATGCTGCTCCCGTTTGGGCAAAAGTCCCTTTTGCGCAAAACTTTTGTGCAAAAGGGCCAGTGTAGACAGCTGAGATTTGTTTTCCACAAAAAAGCCCTGATCGTGAAAATGGCGATCGGGGCTCTTTTGGGGAAAAGCGCGTCTAGATTGGCCATGGACGCTTTTCCGCAAAAAGTGCTTTTGTGGAAAAGCGTCCGTGCCAATCTAGATGCTCTGTTCCAAAAATGCTTTTAATGGAAAACTTTTCCGTTAAAAGCATTTCCAGAAAATCATGCCAATCTAGACATAGCCTCGGTGTTGGCAGATCAGGCCTCACTCCTTTGGGCACAAAGGCTGCAAATAAGGCAAAATGTTGCCCTGCAAAATACCAAATAGGACATTGTCCACTGCTGCCCTGCAGAGGTGTCACAGTATAGGACCCCTGCTGAGTCCCTGCTCTCTGCCCTCTGCCCCAGGGTAGGACAGGAGGCAGCTGCTCTCTGTACTCACCTGGTTTCTGCCCACATGCAGCTGGCAGCTCCGTCTGGAATGTGAGGAGCCTCACAAAGAGAAGGACGCCCACCGACTGCATGGTGCTGCTGGAGAGCTGGGTCTCAATGCCCCAAGCGGAGCCAGCTGGGATTTAAATGCTCCCTGGTGTGGGGCTGGGAGGGAGGGAGGTGGTGGTGCTTGGGGGCCTGCCAACATTCTGCCCTTCCCTTCTCCATTTCATAGGCAGGTTCACGTGTCTCAGCCAAATGTTCTTGGGGAAGAAAAAAATAGGTCCCTCCTCCCCAGAGACCTGCCATGTTGCACGGAGAGCATTTACATTATGAACTGGGTCTTTTCAGCTTAGAAAAAAGGAGACTAAGGAGGGATACAATAGACATCTATAAAATCATGACTAGTATGGATAAACGGAATACAGAAAGTTTATTTATTGGTTCCTATAACATAAGAACTAGAGGTCACCAAATAAAATTAATCGGTAGCAGGTTTAAAACAAACAAAAGGAAGTTTTTCTTCATGAAGCGCACAGTCAACCTGTGGAACTCCTTGCCAGAGGATATTGTGAAGGCTAGGATTTTAACGGGGTTCTAAAAAGAACTAGATAAATTCATGGAGGTTAGGTTCATCAATGACTATTAGCCACAATGGGTAGGAATGGTATCCCTAGCCTCTGTTTGCTAGAGGCTGGAAATAGATGACAGGAGAGGGATGACTTGATGATTGCTTGTTCTGTTTGCTCCCTCTAGGGCATCTGGCATTGGCCACTGTTGGCAGACAGGATACTGGACTAGATGGACCATCATCTGACCCAGTATAGCTGTTCTAATGACCTCATGGTACAGCAGCCTCCACCCTTTGGCCTTTTCTGTCCCAGCCCGACAGTAGCATGATCCTATAGCATTGCAAACAGCAGTTTCCCCATCAGGTGTTGCCGACCCATCAGCCTGGTATTTCCCCGGGGTGTTACTAAAGCTGCGCCCCCCCGCCAGTCTGTGTCTTCCTAGTGCCCCTTTGTGCCAGGAGCTCTCCATGGTGAGCTCCCCCAGCTCAGGAGGCAATGCCAAGCAGCGGCAGGGCCAGCCTTGCAGCAGCCCCAGGAGCTGGGGAAAGTCTGGGGTTGGAGCAGCTCTGGGAGTACCAGTGTTGCTGGAACTTGCTTCCCTTGTCGTATTCTCGCTGGCTGAGGTTGCTGTTGATCAGTGCAGGCCCATCAGGAGAGCCAGGCAGGCCATGTGGAAGGCTCTCCGTCAGCATGTGATGGGTTGGGGGTCGTGTTTCGGAGGCCTTTGGAATGGGGCCACGGGCCCAAAAAGTGCTCGGCAGATTTTCTGACATTGTTGGTTTGGAGCAATTTGCTCCTGATTTGTGTTTGCACCCAGAGGCCTGTGCAATGGGCCTTGGCTTAAAATGCCATAAACAATAGATAGGAATGAAATGGTTTCCACGGGGGTAGGTGAGTAATTAGCCGAACCAGATCCTACCACTCAAAGAATGGGAGCTGCCAGCTCTGACTCCTGTGAACTGGCAAGCCCAGAGAGCTATATTATGTCTCACTGTGTTCTCAGGGGCGCTACTGGGTTGAGCTCTCTGCTCCGCTGAATTGTTTGAAACAGGTGAATGGTGGCGGGGTGTCATGGTAACTTAGAAACATGTCAGAGGAGAGCAACAGAGTGGAGCTAAAGAACTGGTGTGAGCAGTACTTATGTGGAGTGGTGGAATGGCTAAGCAGGGTCTTTCAAGGCTGCCAGTGAGGATACCAGAGCATTAGAGCAGGGTATTTCCACCTACCAAAGGACATGACCCTGGGAAAATCATTTAGAAGCAGGAATCCCACGCAGTCTAGAAGGTTTGAACTTAGCACTTGAACTTGCTTAATTTTCTCCTTTACCAACACACTCTGATTATTAACCTCTGAGATGGACCATCCACAAGCAGGGAACAAAGATGCCTCTCTAATGCAGCTGATGTTTTGATTGGGCACCTCTGATGAGCAATGGCTGCCTCAGCTTATGGACAGTCCTTTTTTTGGGAGCAGCTGGCAGCTCACTCAGTACAGCAGGTGGCTTTGGGCCACTCCTCCCGCACTCCCGCACGCACCTTTGCTATCCTAGTCACTGCTACCACGTGCTGGGACCCAGGGATTGACAAGCCCAGCACTGGGGCCTTTTTTTCTCCTTGATCCTGGAAGATGTGACCTGCTCTGACGAGGGAAACTAAATGATATCACCCTCTCCACAGCTCTGTCCTGATCATCCTCTGCTCCTATGGTTCAGACAGTCCCTCCGTCTGGGGCATTTTCCTTCTAGAGTCTTTACTGTCTTTATTTTTGTGTGTGCTGTCTGATAAGTGTTGGGCTTAGCTGTCTGCTTTCATCGAACTGAAACTGAGCTTCAGGGATCAGAGACATGAGCTCCATGTTCTTCTCCTTTGCTTTGCCTGCCTGCCAGTAGTAGCGGGTTTACCATGGCGCCAATGGTTCTGTGGCACCGGGCCCAAATTCAGAAGTGGTCCCACTCACTTCCTCCTCTCTCGCTGCACTGTGGGAGCAGCACTGGAATCCATTGAAGCAGAAATTGGCTTTTCTTTTCCCAATATATCTAATACTCAGGCTAGGTCTACACTATAGCCTTTTTTTTTATTTTTTAAAGCTCCGCAATTTGCGTAGCTTTTTCCGATTGCTTTTCCAGAAGAGGCTTTTCCACCATTTGGACAAACGGTGGAAAAGTCTCCTCTTTTGGAGGAGCCCTTATTCCTTGTAGACCAAGATATACAGGGCTCCCCGAAAGAGCGTGTTTGCTCTTCCACACAAAAAAAAGTGGAAAAGTAAACGCATTCCCTGGATGCAGCGTAGTTTTTCTGGGAGACCTCTGGTATCCCGGGAAAAACTCTGCAGTCTAGACATACCCTCAGAAAGGAAATCTAGCACCTGCCATCCAGAATCAAACAGCCTCAAAATTCATGAGTCCTAAAGTTCACTTTGGGCAGCTGTTACATCATTTCTCCCAAATTAATTACTGATCCAGCGCGATTTGTTATAGAAAAAGTAGGCTAAAATTGAGCAATATTGACATGTTCCCAGTGCTAACTAGGACTGGGGTTATTATTTTCAACAGCCATTACCATTTTTTTATTTTCTTCTTTTAAAAATAAGACAGTAATATTGCATTGGCAAAATCCCCAGAGAAACGAAGAGTGGAACAAAAGAACAACAAAGGCACCGCAGCTTTTCCCCATTACATGGGACAGTCTTACAATATGGCTCCAGATATCCTGCAACCACACAAACTGAAAATTGTTCCACATTATTGCACTTCTGTAACTATGGAGGAACCAATCCTGTGCTCTGCACATATCCAACATTCCTACTGAATTCAGAAGTGCCTTCCTTTCGTAACCTTGATACACGATAGTTTCAACCCTTGTAAGCTTAGCAGTTTTACATTTAGTAATTGGGTGGGAGCCCTCTCAGAAGAACTGAAGTGCTGCAGGAAATGTTGATGATTCACTAGGTAATATGAGACCCTCCTGTTACAATAATAAACCAGTGCAGAATAGAATGCCCTTTGCTCCTAGGCTACATCTACACTGGCATGATTTTCTGGAAATGCTTTTAATGGAAAAGTTTTCTGTTAAAAGCATTTTCGGAAAAGCGCGTCTAGATTGGCAGGACACTTTTCCGCAAAAGCACTTTTTGCGGAAAAGTGTCCGTGGCCAATCTAGACGCGCTTTTCCACAAAAAAGCCCCGATCGCCATTTTCGCGATCGGGGCTTTTTTGCGAAAAACAAATCTCTGCTGTCTACACTGGCCCTTTTGCGCAGAAGTTTTTCGGAAAAAGACTTTTGCCCAAACGGGAGCAGCATAGTATTTCCACAAAAGCACTGACAATCTTACATGAGATCGTCAGTGCTTTTGCGGAAATTCAAGCGGCCAGTGTAGACAGCCGGCAAGTTTTTCCGCAAAAGCAGATGATTTTGCGGAAAAACTTGCCAGTCTAGACACAGCCCCTAGAGTCTAGAAAGGGGTTTTTCACTGCTCTGTGCATAGGCAATTAAAGACAATGAAAGACTCTCACTGCAATAGGCTTTGGGCATAACTGGTTACAATGGGTAACTCCACTGTCTTCAGAGGGTCCCAGTCCCACAGCGGAGGGGGATGGTATGAATTTTATGCAGACCTGATGCTCAGGAATGGGAACCTCCTAGCTCCTCAGCTTCCAAAATCATTCAGGCTGCACTTTTTGCACAACGATGTGTTAGCTGGGAGTGTGTGGGAATTGGGGGCCCCTGCTGCAAGTGATGGGCATCTCAGGTACTTTAAGCCATGGCCTAGAGGAGGGAAGCACCAAACTGCAGAGTCTAAGGCTGGCCTCTGGAGCTTGGCCCCATGGCTGTAGCCAGAGAAGCTGCGGGTGACTGGGACCATTAAGGTAGGAGCAGATAAAAACACTGGAGTTAACTTCAAGGAAGAGGGTCACCAATAGGAAAGGAATGTCAAGGGGAGTGGGAAAAGAGGAAGCAAGTCAGACTTACAGAGGGAGAACAGTCCAAGCTGGCTGGGGAGCATGTCCAAGGTAGAAGGGAAACAAGCATTGGGAGAGATGGAGGTGACCAGGTAATAGACTAGCTGTAGATGGGAGCAGAGGGAGAGAGATGTACAACTACAGAGTCCCAGGGCTAAGCGCTCGCTTTGGGGAAATGGTGTTTGTAAATGGCTTGCTTAAATGGCAGGAGGGGTGCTGGAGGAGGGATTTGTCAGAATTGTTCAGGTAGCTGCTGGCCGTGGAACTTTATTGAGCTGAGACCAGGACCACACAGTGACTGGTGAAATAGGGTGCTCCTGGAGACATGGCTATAGAGATCAATCTGTGGGGCGTGTCCCCTGATCACTATGGAATTTCTGCTCACTATGGACACTGGTAAACCCTCCTGGGTATATGACTCAATGAGGAAAATTCGGGGCTGAGGAAACTGTGTCTGGCAATACATACCGTCATGCAGAGGTAGGTTATCAAAATGAAAAATGGCTGAGATTCAGTACCAGGTAGGCTAAAGCACTACCATATCAGGCTCACACTCGGGAGGGGCCAGTAACAACTACATGGGGACCCACAAATATATTTGGCACAAAGGCCCAGAAAACATTA